TCTTCTTCTTCTTCTTCTTCTTCTTCTTCTTCTTCTTCTTCTTTTTCTTCTTCTTCTTCTTCTTCTTCTTCTTCTTCTTCTTCAAAGGGCCGTTTGCGGGATAAGGGTAACAGCCTAAGCATTCCACATAACAACAAATATGTCAGTCACCTCATGTTCATCGCGTGGAAACGAAGTCAATGAGACGATAATAGAGTGATAATATAAGAATTAAAGTTTTGTTTGGTTTTATTTTGTTTTCTTTACAGCGTGACGTCAATGTCTAGATGTGTTTAACATTCTTTGGGCAATTTGGAGGGAGACGGGGTAGTTGTTTGGGTCTTTTTATCTTTAAAACATAGTAAGACTAGTTTACTCTTTTTACCATGTCTATCTTGCAGGTTTTGTTATGTTCAAACTGTTGATAGCACACGTTCCTTTTTGAGAAATTCAATATCAGTAGCCACTTTTGTCTTCTAAGATACACGAGCTGAAATCAATCCAAAAACTTTACACGTAATGACTTTAAAACGATGTATCGCAGGTGGCAGGGGGGAAATACAAGTTGAAATTTGATGAGCCGCATGTACACACACACATACACACACACATACACACACACACACACACACACACACACACACACACGGTTGGAAGTGATCTCAGACTGTAAGTCATTTTCTCGGACACCGAAAGTTGAGAATGCTCGGGTTAAAGGTTTGTTGTGTAAGATGTTGGGCTCACTTTCACACCTTCACCTATCCCGTAGACTGGATGTCCGTCGGGCACTTTTGAAGATTTTGCCACCAGCTTCCTCCACTCCGTCCTGTTTTCAGCTTTCCTGAGCGTGTATTTGAGTTCCAGGCCTGTCCATCCCTTGATTTTGTCCTTCAAATTCTTCTTCGGTCTGCCTCTGTTCCCTTTTCCCTGGACGCTGCCTTGCAGGGTCATCTTGGCAAGGCCGGATGAACGGGTGATGTGTTCATACTATCGCAGTTTCCGTTTCCTGAACAAAGTGAGAAGGTCAGCATATTATGGTCCAATTTCAAGTTTGGCTAAGTATACTATAAAAACAGAGTTGCCTTTTTCTCCTCACCAGATGAGAGACGTAGAATGTTCTATTTCACTAATCCTTTAGACAGTATTCCTTTTGGTATATCTTTGGTATCACAAGCTATCTACTCCAGGGTTGTATTCTTCACTTTTTAGAATACGTTTAGTTCGAAGATCGCTTTGAAACTTTCAGTATTTCTCAAAATATCATTTTGACAGACTGCTATGCAAAGCGTACGGATTGGATTAACGAGTAAATTAATTTCTCTTTGGAAAGTGGTGGCACAGAGTTCCCCACGTCGTATGGATACGATAGCAAAACACGACGTACGGATAGGGTTAAATATGTATGGCCCTACCTCTAAAGTTATCCGCTTCCGTCTAAGATTAAACCTGACGTAAAACGTGTCGTTTTTAGCAGCGCGTTTGCTAATACAAAGGGATGTATTATTATTAAATTAAATCCTCAACTTAAGACCTGCACCCACCTACACCCCTCGACCGCCGCCTCCTCTTCCCTTTTTTTCCACCATCCTTTTTTAAAAAAACCTTTAAAAAACACGTAGAAAAACAACTAGCAACGCTTTTCTAAATTAATGCGTGTGAAATTACTCGATAATAAAGAACTTAGATAACAGTATGAATAAAGACACCATAAACCAAACCTCTAGCCTGACAGCGACCACAAGCCACATTTCCAGTAACTCTGCTGGCGCTGTAAGCCTTTCTAAAGTTGTCTGCTTCCTTATCAGATTAGGTCTGACGTAGATGCGATAGTAATAGTTGTGTGTTTCTAAAAGAGGATATTTTTTTTCATAACGATACCTTACCATGACTGACAAACGTGTCAGGCTTTGTTTGGGGGGGGGGGGGGAGGTTGGCATCCGGTAACTTTTTTCAACTAAAAAGTCACTAGAGGCAGTATGCGTTCAGCCTTTTGGTGCGTCAACAAAGATATTCTAGTATATATTACTATAATAGTGCGGTCAAAAATTATTGGCGCGACTTACTGGCAAATATCTCCTCAACAATCGAGTATAGTAAATTAGGTTCTCCAATTTTTGCACCGTGACTTGTATCAAATTGTCTTAACAGATCAACATTTTTGTAAACACCTACAAGCTGTATTCTAGAAAAATCCTTAATAAACACTAATAAAAAAATCAAAGTGGGTGGTTTCTACGGATTTTTAAATGCTTACAGCTGGGCCAATATTTCTTTTAATAGCAAGTCCGTCATGCTTTTTGTAATCGAGACATTATGCTTATTGAACACATGTTTTGAGAGCCTTTAGAGCAAAAAAATTGTTCTATATGTAAAATAATTTCTTGTAACAAATTTTGCAAGTAAAAATTGTCAGTGATAATCTGCGACGTAGGCTATAATATTCGTATTCAAAATGTGTGTGAGAAACGGGAAGTGCTGTGAACAATACCATTTTTCGTGTGACAAAGATTTCAAGTATTTTATATAAATCTATGAAGAAAGGTTTTTTAATCAAACCCCAATTGTTCTGGAAAAATTTGTGAGGCAGCGAGGTAGAATCAGGCTCTCGTCAAAATAATCAAAGTGAAGAAACTTGCATATTTCTTCCGCAAGTTTGTGAATTTTTATCGAATTTTTGTTTTTTGGCTCAACACTTTTCATGCCCATTAAAGAACTCATTTCGGTGACGATTTTTCTGAAAAGCGTCGATTAAAGGCACAAAAATGTAAATTTTCAGTTACCACGGACTCTTAAACTTAGGAAAATACAAATCTTTGGCGGCCATTTTCTCACAAATTTTGCCTCTGAAAACAGGTGACCCCCACCTCCTTCTTTCGCAAATATCTCGATTCGTATTCAAGATAAATGGATATTTTTTCATCCAAATAAAGACAAGTGAATAAACTTTAAGATGATACCTATATCTCTACATGCCCAAAAATTGACTAGAGCCTGATTCCACCACGCTGCCATTATGGTTTAGTTAAGACAAATGGATACAAACAGCTCTCCGAAGTATGGAAGACATTGATTCACCCGTTAAAGAGATATTTGAGGATAAGTTGCTCCCCGAATTTTTGCCTACACTATAAATACCTTTCTCAAGACGTGCAAAGGTGTGCGATAAAACGTCATCATATTGTTCAAATCTGTTGAATCTGTACATTCCAACTCGCAGTTTAAGGTCATCGGCTGACAAATAGAAATTTCTTTAACGTCTATGAAAATTAAAAACAGTGGGTGAAAGGGCATTTGAATATCATGTTTCCAAGATCTGAAATTCTTTGCCCAGTAGTTTAAGAGAGATCAAATCCTGTAAAATTCATTCAAATGTCAGCTAAAGCCATTTCTGTTTTTTTTAATTAGTGAGTAAATATTCAGAGAGACTTTCTTTTGGCCAGAACACAATGTATAGATTATGTTACAGTTGTATTGAAAAGCTCTCAGAGCCGGTGTGGTATTAGGTTGAGCGCTATATAAATTAAATACCAGATTATATTATTAAATTCAATAATTAAGATGTGTAATATTGGTGCCCTTCAATATTGAGAGAATTGCTCAGTTTCCACGTGAAATTGACAGGATGCCGGCCATCCTCTCGATTTCCTACAGTTTGTCAATCAGCGAACTGTACGTCTAAATGGGGCTGTCTGTCCCCACAGAGTTTGGTGATGAGGGAAGAGGGGAGAGAGAGAGAGAGAGAGAGAGAGAGAGAGAGAGAGAGAGAGAGAGAGAGAGAGAGACAGACAGACAGACAGACAGACAGACAGACTGAGGCACAGAAGAGACAGACAGACAGACCGTTGGATTACCTGACGACAGTGCCTCTCTATCCACCCTTGACCATTAATAATTTATATATAGTGACACCAGCCATCCATGTCCAGGTGCTGTTTTAGCCTTGTTATCTATCCTTGGGCACCCTCTCTCACACACCTTCCAATCCTCCACTTGAGGCTCCCTGTTGGTCCGGCTCATCCCCCACAGTGCCAGGTTCGGCGGTTAGTCCTCTCTCCGTTTTAGACACTTTCCCTCTCCCCAGTCACACCTTAGAGTTCTCCACTTGAGGGGAAAATGAAAGACATTTTGAGGGAATGGGGGGCGAGGTCGAAGGGTGGGGTGGATGTGTGTGTATGTATGTGTGTTTATGTGTTTGTGAGTGTGGGGAGGGGAAGATTAAGGGGTTTGGAGGGCGGCATCTAGCAACTACAGAGCTCACGATCTGCTCACTGTCTTGTGGACATATTCACGCCTAACAAACTATGACAGGTCGGCGGACAAATACCGGAGTGTCCTCTCCTTTCTCTCAGTCCGGTCCTCACAGGGTAAGGGGATGAGGGAAGAGGAGGAGGAGGAGAGAGAGAGAGAGAGAGAGAGAGAGAGAGAGAGAGAGAGAGAGAGAGAGAGAGAGAGAGGCACGGAAGAGACAGACAGACAGACCGTTGGACTACCATACGACAGTCCCTGTCTATCCACCCTTGACCATCAATAATAATAAAATTTATAATATAATATATAGTACACCTTCTAATCTTACACTTGAGGCTCCCTGTTGGTCCGTCTCATCCCTCACTGTTCCAGGTTCGGCAGTTAGTCCCCTCTCCGTTTTAGCAAATTTCCCTCTTTCCAGTCACACCTTAGAATCCTCCACATGAGCCCCGCCCCCAACCACCCAATCAGTGCCCTGTTAGGTGATTATTCACAAGTGAATAATTTCTCAGTACCTTGAAATTTGACGTTTATAATTTAGAGTTTCACCGCATTTCAAGCTTTGGATAGCTTCATAATGGCCCCAATTTATCTAAGTCGCATTTAATAGAAAATATAGAACATTATTCTAATTTCGGATCTCTTGGTCTTTGCAACTCAAAACAGCCAAAAATTGCCAGAGAGAACTTTATCTTTTAAAGGTAATTACAAGTCTGGGAACTCCACTCGTCTGAAGTCTCCTTCGACCTCTGTGCACTGTCTGATATACTGGGGAGACCTTGAACAGAGTACAACTGAATGTAGTGGGGACGTGTTCAGAGGCTCGAAACTATCAAGCCAGACAGCAGAATAAAGGTTAGAATATTGCTGCTGACCTTTCTATTTTTACAATCCGAGTTGAAGTGGTACAGCGGAAGTGGACCCCCCCCCCCCACCTCCCCTCGCCACCATCTCTCTCTCTATCTATCTATCTATCTATCTATCTATCTATCTATCTATCTATCTATCTATCTATCTATCTATTTATCTATCTATCTACACCTCTCTCCCTCACCCCACTCTCCCGCTTTCTCTCCCCCCCTCTCTCTCTGTCTCTCTGTCTCTCTGTCTCTGTCTCTGTCTCTGTCTCTCTCTCTCTCTCTCTCTCTCTCTCTCTCTCTCTCTCTCTCTCTCTCTCTCTCTCTCTAAAAACCTTCAAAGTTTATACCTGTTGATTTAAGTGTAAATTGTCATTTTCTACTGCCACCCCCACCCCGTTTTCTTTGGCTCTGAAACCCTACCCAGTCTTAACGGTGTACTAGTAATTCGAGTGGTTGAAAGGGGGGGGGGGGGGTAAGGGGTTGTGGCTGAAAAACCTATGGTAATGGATTTTTCCCCCGTCTCCAGACTTGGTGCCGATATTTGTGAGGTTCGTAAACTGTGTCAACATGATAAAAATTGTTCTGCTTTCAGAAAAACAAAACAAAAAATGAATTATTTTTGCCTGTGATGATGATGATGATGATGATGATGATGATGATGATGATGATGATGATGATGATGATGGTGATGATGATGATGATGATGATTTGTTAGGCCCATTTCCCTGATTTTATACAGCGTCCATTTAGTTTTACTTTCAGTTGTTCCTGAGGAAGCCCAAGAGGCGAAACGTTGAGCTGTTTCGATGAAATACGTGTCACGACGCAGTGGAATCAGGTGCTCGTCAATGTTTGGGCACCTGAAGTTATTAGTATCATCTTAAAGGTAGTTCAATTGTCTTTGCTTCCGATAAAAAAACGATTTATTTGAATAGAAATCGAGATATTTGCGATTGAAGGAGTTTGGGTCCCCTGGTTTCAGAGGAAAAATTAGCGAGAAAATGGCAGCCAAAGTTTGGTGATTTCCATAGTTTAATAGTACTTGGAAACTGTAAATTTTAATTAATTGTGTCTTTAATCAAGGGATTTCCATCAAATACACACGTAAAAGTGTTTTTGAATTAACAAACAAGGCGTTGAGCTAAAAAAGAGAAATTTGAAAAAAATCCCCGAACTGGCCGTAAAATGCTGATTTCTCGAGTTTCATTATTTTTATGCCAACCTGATTTCATCACGATGCATCACATACATTTTTAACATTTTATATTGCAATGTTGTTTCAGCCTCTTGGGGGTGGGGGTTGGGGTGTGGGGGATGTGGGGTGTGTGGGGGGTCCGCGCTCTTTTTTCACCCACTTTTGCCCTCTCCATTTTTCGAAAACGTATTGAATTCATGGTTTGAGTCGTCCATTGTCAGATTGGCCTATTAGCATTTCGTCGACGACTTAAATTCGTGAAGTTCTTTAAAAATCGCGATTTCAAGTCATGAGTGAAAGAAAAGAAAAAACCGAAATAGAGAAGGCCAGTAAAAGGTCTTAGTGAGTTAAGCTACTATGTCTTCATTTGGTCGCTTTTTAGCACAAGGGGGCTATCCTGAAAAACACTGTATTGAGAAAAATCGAAGGTAAAGTTTTTTAACCACTTGTTCAGTTTCTTTAAAAGACAACGAATGTTTTCTCTATAACCAAACAAATATGTACACCAATGAAACCAAAGTTCTCCTATAGGAATGGCAATGCCCACTTTCGGTGTATGTCCAGATTTCTGGAAACACCCCTGAAACAGGGTTGGCCCACTTGTTCTTAAAAGCGACTATTTTTGTTGGGAGGTTGGGAGACTGGCCTTGACTTTTAACTTTTTGTCGGTTGTAATCTTCAGTCGTCTGTCCCAGTCTCTTCCTGTCTTTTATCGGTTGCAATCTTTGGTCTACTGTCAAAGGTTCTGAAGTTAATGAAATGTTATCCCCATGGCAGACATCATTTTATCTAATATACAGGGCAGACGTCCAATCGAATCCAGTCGAGTTGAGTCGGCGCTAGCCAGATTTTCCTCTATGAAGTGACAAAAGCTTCCATTGTTGGCACAATACGACCGACACGACTCACGACCTTGAAAAACAAACGTGTTTGATCATAAAAGTCCCACTCGAATTTAGCCGATTCGGTCAAATTGAGCTAAAAAGGTAGCGTTTGCCACTCCGCGGAGAAAAGTCTCTCTGGCTCGGACTCGAACACATTTTTTTTTATGTGAGGCGTGGTGGTGAAATTAGGCTCTCGTCAAATTAATAAAATCCGAGAAGTCGGCATTTTTCGGCCAGTTTTGAAATTATTTTCTAATTTTTTTTTTTTTAGCTGAACATCTTGTATGTCCACTCAAAAACACTTGTATGAGTGGATTTTATGGAACAACATTGATTAAAGGCACAAAAATAAAATGTAAATGTGCAGTCTCCAATGACTATTAAACTATACTATGGAAGTCACCAAACTTTAGCGGGGCATTTTCTCACTAATTTTACTTCTGAAACCAGGTGACCCTACCTCCTTCAATCGCAAATATCTCTATTTCTATTCATGATAAATGGATATTTTTTTCATCGAAAGCAAAGCGAATGAACAACCGTTTTGATGATACCAGTAACTCCAAAATATGCCCAAACATTGACGAGCACATGATTCCTCTACGTCTTGACACAAAAGGATTTGACTGGCAGTGTGCTCTCGGTATAAGTGAAGATCGGTCGGCTCTTTTTTCCCCATCTTTCCATTCATCATGTGGTTATCCACACTTGAAATCTTTCAGTAGTTCTCTTGTCTTCCACCGGTATTTATTTTTGTCGAGATGACAACAAATAACAACCATAACAACTGATAACAACTGATAACAACAAATAACAACTGATAACAACAAATAACAACTGATAACAACAGATAACAACGGATAACAACAAATAACAACAGATAACAACTGATAACAACAGGTAGCAACTGATAACAACTAATAACAACTAATAACAACTGATAACAACAAATAACAACAGATAAGAACTGATAACAACTGATAACAACAAATAGCAACTGATAACAACTGATAACAGCTTGTTTATGGGTGTGAAAGCTTTGGCAACTACCCAGTCAAAATCTACATCCAGAACTTGGCGGGCATTTTTTTACCTTCAGTTTAAGCTGTTTGGCAGAGTTTCCTTGCAGTAAAGGTTTCATGACTCAAGAGTATCCGAAAAAATAATATCATGCGACCGTGCACACATAATTGAAGCGTACTGACAAAATGAGTTACTTCTCGGATGTTAGCCTTTTGGACATAGATGCGTCAAATTTACGAGTTTAGTTTGAGCAAAATTATAAGTGTGAAATGTTGAAAGACATGTTAAACTTAGAGAAAAAGGCATCTGTTAAGAATGTACATATATTTAATCTCTGTGTCCATTTTGGGCTGATTTCTACGTTCGAGCACTGCGAGAAGCGACTCATTTTGTCAACACGTCTCAGGGGAAGTAAGCATTGAATAAAACTCTAATTTTATAGTGTTGTCTGAATTACCTTCCTTTCCAACACATTTCTCAAGGAGTTTGAGGATACATAGTAAAAAAAATTGAAACACTGCTGGAATTATGTCAATAACGTTGTTATTATTATATTATTATTATTGTTATTATTATTTTTGTTATTATTATTGAAGTTATTATTGTTATTATAATTATTATCATGACGTGTTTTGCCGGTGAATGCATCAAGACCGAGTCCCGAGAGTGCGATTTTTTTTATCGAGTACCCCGGTATTTCTGCTCGGATGTTGTATCCCTCTTTGCCCTGATTGGCCATTAAAGGCAAGGTGGAAATTCGCCTGCTCAATCATCATCATCATCATCATCATTCTCATCATCATCATCATCATCATCGTCAACCACAGAGCTCACGATCAGCTCACTGTCCTGTGTACATATTCACGCCTGACGAACTATGACAGGTCGGCGGACAGATACCGGAGTGTCCTCTCCCTTCTCTCAGTCTGGTCCCCACAGGGTAAGGGGATGAGGGAAGAGTGTGTGTGTGAGAAAGAGACAGAGAGAGAGAGAGAGAGAGAGAGAGAGAGAGAGAGAGAGAGAGAGAGAGAGAGAGAGAGAGAGAGGCACGGAAGAGAAAGACAGACAGACCGTTGGACTATCTGACGACAGTCCTTCTCTATCCACCCTTGACCATTAATAATTTATATATAGTGACGTCCAGGCGCTGTTTTAGCCTTGTTATCTATCCTTGGGCACTCTCTCTCTCCCCCACAGTGCCAGGTTAGTCCCCTCTCCGTTTCAGACACTTTCCCTCTCTCCAGTCACACCTTAGAATCCTCCACTTGAGGCCCCTTAGATGTACGCTGTAATGAATACTTATGACCATGGTTTTAGTCATTAATAAATTAGGCACGTCCTTGACAGTATTATTATTAACAATATGAGACGCAGCGTGGTGGAATCAGGCTCTCGTCAATTTTTGGGTATGTAGAGTTATTGGTATCATCTTAAAGCTTGTTCACTTGTCTTTATTTGGAGGAAAAAATGTCCTTTTATCTTGAATACAAGTCGAGATATTTGCAAATGAAGGAGGTGGGGGTCACCTGTTTTCAGAGGAAAAATTTGTGAGAAAATGGTAGCCAAAGATTTGTTATTTCCATAGCTTTAGAGTCCGTGGTAACTGAAAATTTCTATTTTGTGTGCCTTTAATCAACGTTTTTCAGAAAAATCAGTACAGAAATAAGTTTTTTAATGGGCATGAAAGGTGCTGGGCCAAAAAACAAAAACTTGATAAAAATTCACAAACCTGCGGGAATTTTGACGAGAGCCTGATTCCACCACGCTGCCTCACATGTAATAATAAGACTGCTTTTGGCACATCGCAGGAACAAAGTTCTCTTACTGTAGACCTACATACGACAAATTCTAACGTGAGTTCTCTGGTTTAGGATACTGTTGCCTTTGATTTACGTCTTGCAGTAGTTAAATCATTTTAAAAGACTAATGACAGCTACAAGAGAACAAATCAAACATAATTTGATTTTTATTTAAAGCTGTGTAGTTGGAGATGAATAATTTTTGGAAGCATAATGTGTTCCGAACATTTTTGCAGGGCACGCCTTGTCATAACTGGTATGTTATGTTTTGGAGCACCGGGGATTAAGGGTGTTGAAGTGAAACGATTCCTGATGTGGATAGTTAGTGACTGCTCTAAGAGTTTGCTGAGTATTGCGGACAGAGGCAGGATCCTGAGCTCAACTGGCAGATATTGTTATTGTTATTATTATTGATATTGATATTGTTATGTTATTGTTATGTTATTGTTATTGTTATTATTGTTATTATTGTTATTATTATTATTATTATTATTATTATTATCACTATTATTATTATCATCATCATCATCATCATCATCATCATCATCATCATCATCATCATCATCAACATCATCATCATCATCATCAATGTTGCTGCTGTTTTTATTGTTGTTGTTGTTGTAGTTGTCGTCATCGTTGTAGTAACCAGGGCCTTCAGCATGACACCAACTGAACTAATGGTGCACACGTAATCAGCCCGGACAGGCCTCTTCTTCATAGATTTTCAACTGTCAGGGTGTTTTTAATACATTAAACTTGCACAAGGGACCTTCTAGGTAATCGTCCATTTCCGAGAAAAGATAGGTGCTCCAGCATGTTTCCTGAGTTCAGGGGTATAAACAAAAATACATTAAAAATGAAAGATCCAACTTATGAAATGAAATTGAACAAAGAAAAAGTCAGTTTTTGTTCAACCTGTTGAGGGAAGTTCAGTTTACAATAATTGTATAGGCATGCTTGCATTACACTGCCTCGGAATAAGTCCTGTTATCTCAATATCTATTTTTGAGAAAGTTGACGTCTGAATCTATGAGTTTCACAATATTTCAAGCTTTTCCGAATGCAATTTTTCGAATCTTGATAACGACTCCGAACAATCTTACGATTTTGATACAGCAGTTAGAGCATTTGGTGTCTGACCTCACAGTCTTAGTACCTCAAAACCGCCAAAAATGTCAGATAGAACTATGTAATTCTGAGGTAGCGATTACATGATTCTTTCCAACAATAATTATTGATTTTATCAATGTTGCGTAATACGCCAGACCAGACCAATCCGGAAATCAACATACCATTGCTCGCCATCAGAAGGTAATAATAATAGCTTGTCCGCCAATGTAAGACGATGACCAGTACATCCGCAGAGGGGAGTACTTCTTCTGTGAAATAGAAGAAAGAGAAGAAATAAAGGGTGAGATCACTTGTGGCTCCTACAGTGGGTTGCGACCTATTTTTGAGATAGAGTCATAGTGTCTGGCTCACGGAAAGACTTCAATGACCATCCACCTAAACACCGACTGCAATTGATATCATTGTAAGTCTGGGCACACTAACTACTTGACCACTGGAGCCGACTATGCCTTCATGAAGTGGGAATCGAACCAGATGGTTTGGAATAAGGGGCATGCGCTTCACCTGACGGCCAAGGAGCCCCCGTGTCCGCCCATGTTCAGAACTGTGGGAGTTACGACAATAAGACGTTTCCTAGATCAGTCTCGAATGTTTCTTCTTGTCTTATTTCTTCTCTTTACTTTATATTTTCTTCTTTTTTCGTTTCTTTTCTTTATATTTCTCCTTTTTGTATTTCTTCTCTTTGCTTTAGAGTTCTACTCTGTATGTTTCTTCTCTTTATCTTTCTTCTCTTTATATTCCTCTCTTCACGAGGTACAAGAGGAGGACTTAAGTCCTGGCCTCCGAAGCTTACCTTTGTGTCTCAACATGGGTGTTTACGCTGATCATGATTTAAAGTAAAATAAAGAAACAACCCTCCTCCAATCCCCCCCCCCCAAAAAAAAGAAAACAACAACAACTTAACAAACAAACAAACAAACAAACAAAACAAACAAACATACAGACAACACTTCCCCTCCCGAAAACCCAAATAAAATCCAACAAAGCATTTCAATATCCTAAATCTCTATACCCCCCCCTGATTTCCACTCTCTCCTCCCCCATCCCCAAAGTGGGCGCCAAAGGTATGTGTCTTAGGCAGTGTATCCTCAACGATTTCTGAGCCTCAGTCCTGGTGACGTGGACAGCAGAAACTGGAGCGTCACTGACCTGTCAGCTGCTGTCGCTTAACGTCTCCATGGCAACCCAAAGCCCAGATGTGGGTGACGAACATTGCCAGTGGATCGAGAAGGTAATGAAGTGTGCCCGAAAAATCTTGAGGTATAGGAGAAAAGTTTGTGTCACATTTGAAAAAGAGTCATTGTACACCTATATGAGTATGTATACACATGTTAATATATGTACAACAACAACAACAACAACAACAGTAGCAGCAGCAGCAACAACAACAACAATAACAACAACAACAACAACAACAACAACAACAACAACAACAACAACAACAGCAACAACTACAACAAACTACAACAACAACGATGACAACGACGACAACAACAACAAGATTTTGAGCACTGGCTGCAGAGATGCCCCGCCACGGAGGTCCGGCCGTGGCATCTCTTTGGGGAGGGTTCAGGGAAGTTGGACTGCCTCACTCGCTACCCAAGAGAGGCGGTGGCCTTGGCGAAAAGCACGCTATTCGGGGCTTCAAACATTTCGAACGAATAGGCTACCACACACACACACACACACACACACACACACGCACACACACACACACACACACACACACACACACACACACACACACACACACACACACACATACACACATAACAACAACAACGACGACGACGACGACAACAACAAAACAACAACGACAACAGTAACAAGAACAACATAGACAAAACTCCTATTATTGTAAACATAATTTGATACTGTCATCGACGCAATTTAATCAATCAGGAGGCGCGAAAATAGTCCGCAATTGGAAAATTCATTACCCTTGAAAATGACAGAAATATGGATAATATAAGACATTATAATTATAGTGTCATGTTTCGTGCTCATGTATCCCATCGCTGCCCCCTTTTTTGATGTTGAATATTTTTTCGCGTTTATGAATAAATAGATATGATATATCTCCCTTTATACTGTATCTGTCCCAAGAATGCATGTCAGAACGGTGGAGTTTTTCCCTCTGGGTTATGTCACTGCCCACCAGGATACACAGGACAACTCTGTACTCTGCCCAATCCAGGTGAGTGGAGGTGGAGATAGTACGGTTGCTTCTAAGGACAAGTGGGCAAACCCAGATTTCGGGGTATCCAGAATAAATCTTCACCTACACCAAAAATGGGCATTGCCCTACCTATAGAAGTTTGGTTTTATTGGTGTGCATATTTGTTTGGTTATAGAGAAATTTCTACTTGTCTCCTAAAGAAACTGAACAAGGGGCAAAAACTTTATCTTTGATTTTCTCAAAACAGCATTTTCGGGATAGCCCCCCTTTGTGCTTAAAAGCGACCGTATGTGTGTTGCACTGTTGCCAGACACAGGAGAGATTGCAGGTTCGGGGGTTCGAGCCGAGGCTCGATGCGACGTTGTGTCCTCCTTGGGAAAGGCACGTTACACGAGATTCCCATTTGGTTTGGTCCTTTTGGAGATGGACTTTAAACTCGGAGATCCTCGATCTACCTAACCAACCTAATAGTGTTGATAGGGGTGTTAAACTTATACCATTTCATCGGACACTTGTGTAACTTATCCGAATGTGTTTAAAGTCGTCGGTTATTCTCTAATTCATTAGGTCGTTAGTTACACAGTAATTTCATTTCTTCGGGGTTTATTCATAGAGTTCGCAATTTTCTTTTTATTCCTATCGTCTGAACAGTTAGTTAAATCAATTATTAATCATTTAGTTTGTACCTTATTACAACCGTTTAGATGTCCCATACTTACATAATAATTCTATAGCTCTGATTCATTTTCAGATGTATGCACCGTCTACTATAGGAATGTACAAAAGAGGAAATGTATTTCTAAGGTAGACGTCATCAATGGCATTGAGGAGTTGAAATCTCTGTCTGGATACGACGTAAAGGTGAGGTGGTTAATTAGATAAATCCATCATCATCACCATATCTTTTAAGGTGGTTCGAGGGTGGCACTGTTTGGTCCTATTTCTTTTCTTTATGACTACAGTTTCTGTCTAGTTGCCATGTCCATCCCCTGCACTGTTGGGTCATTTTAATGTGGTTATGCTTGTTTTCCCAAGATAGAATGGTCGCTTTTAAGGACAAGAGAGCTAACCCATATTTCGGGGGTTTCCAGAAATCTTGACCTACACCCAAAGTGGGCCTTGCCCTACCTATAGGGGACGTTTTGTTTCATTGGTGTGTATACTTTTTTGGAAGTAGAGAAAAACTCTCTTTTTCTTTTAAAATAGATTTCATGGGTCCGAAAACTTTACCTTCGATTTTCTCAAAACAGCATTTTTCGGGATAGCCCCTTTGTGCTTAATACTGACCAAATAACAGAGGAAGAGTCTTATAGACACACAATACACAACTATGGAAAAACATGTTTTTTTTTTTTAATGAGTTGCCGCGGACATGTTCAAGGAAATTGTGATCTCCTTGTGACCCAGATCTTTGCTCGCACCTGGGAGTTTATCTACGAGACGAATCTGGACGGGGCCGATGCAAGAGGAAATCTGAAGTAAGTGTTGTTTTGTTTGGTTATTTGTTGGTTATTATTTTGTTTGTTTTGTTGTCGTTTTTAAAGGTTAATGACTGTCGTAAGAACATCCGAAGCCCCTGCGGAATGCAAAACATTGAGGTTCAAATTGTCAGTCAACACACGAGACGAATCTGGAGGGGACTGATGCAAGTGGAGATCTGAAGTGGGTGTTGTTTCGCTTGAATTGTATGTTGGTGGTTTCTTTGCTTGTTTGTTGCTGTTTTTTTAAAGGTTAATACCTGTCATAAGAACATCTGAAGTCTCTGTGGAGTGCAAAGAATTCAGGCTCAAACTGTCTGGTCAACAAAAAAAGCAACAACCC